GCTACAGAAGAGGACAGCATGGTGGCAAGATTGTTAGAGCCCCTGCCTTGCAGGTCTTGGATCCTCGGTTTGATTCTGATACAGGTGCCTGATAGCCTCTGGTGCTCTAGTTTTTTCCTATAACCCAAAGCCATTCTATCTTGATAAATAGTCATCTTTCCATTGCCCCCCGTGTGTGTGTGAGTGTGTGTGTGTACCATAACCCTACAACAATCTGACATGTTTCCTGGATATACCCTGCCTTGTGTCCAGGGTCTGCCAGGTGAGGCTCCGGCTCATCATGATCCTGTGTTGTTCTAAGTCGGTGCCTTGGAAATGGATGGATGCTAGAACAGGAATAGTACTACAGGACTGATACAACAGGAAACAGCATGTATTATTTTGGGACAGTGTAGGCAGCAGCATGGACAGTCATGGTTAGGGCTCTGGACTCATAACTGAGAAAGCTATGGGTCCACATTCTGTGTGGAGATGCTGTTATACCTTTGAGCAAGGTACTTCACTCAGAGGGTTATAATAAAATGCCTAGCTGTATAAATAGATTCAAACGTTAATGACTTTAGGTAAATGTATCAGCCAAATACAGTAAGTAATAATAAGCATTACCTCAGGATGATTTCCACAGCAGTGCTATGCTATACTGAAGATACTGTTACCTCTTTGTTAAAATGTCAAAAAACAAGACTTTTATAGTAGTAACACAAGACAATTTCACGAGGTATTTTCAAAAGACATGTTTATAAGGCTTCAGAAGGCTTGGCAGGCCAAGGAACAGGTGGAGGCTCTTGAAGGACGGTTGTCTGCTACACTTCGAGGAGGACCATAACTTTCAGGGCTTGTGCAATCTTAACTCCAGCAGCACAGTATTTCTTCAAAAAGGACTTTGTCAAGCAACAGTGCTTGTTGGAGAAAATACTGTATGATCCTTAGATATGTCAGTGAGGGAACAAGTGGAAAATGACTGTTTTTGATGTACTGTAGGCCATGCAGTTTCCCTCCTGTAGGCCAAGTGGATAACTGTTCTAACATTTCAGATGGACATACAAAAATTCTCTCTCTAAACTTGTAATCTCTTTTCAGTGGATTTATTGCTACTTGAGCCTGCTGCTTTGTATGCTAGAGAGTTAAGGAGTGAAGAGAGGCAACACAATTCTTTATTTATGGTAGGCATCTGTTTTGATGGGGATATCACAAAATATCCCTATACAGTGCTTATTTGAAGTTTTTTTTACGCCTCTTCAACTGGAAACCAACTAGGGAAACCAACCTTCCTAATATTTTAAATGAAAGTTTCATTTTTTGGGATCCACTTTAATGAATAGCAGCCGTAAATAAAACTGTATTATTATAACTGATAATTATGTGATATGTCCCTCAACCTAAAAACAGTAATACAAGGATGACCAAGACAACATTAATTCACAGTGAACAGAGGATTAAAAAAGTAAAGGGATTATTTAAAATAATGCCTAAAACTGTGACATATTTTGTATCCTGTGTCAGTGAAACAGGTGATGCATGTCATTTAAAATGGTCTTCAACAGTTTAAAATTCATTTAAGCTATTGTGTTTAAGCTTTACAAAAAGTTTTTTAAACATATACAGTACATTTTGAAGACACTGGACGTTCTTATCCAAAATGGTAATTTTCAAAAAGATAGTCTTTAGTTACTTATATACTGTACAGTATCTCCTTATATGTAAACTATATTACTAGGACTGCTGGGACAAGACACACTCCTCCAACAGTTTGGATTTTTCAAGTGGTATCTATCTAAGCAGAAGGTGCATGTGATTCATAAACGTTGTACAGTATAACTGATCAGAACTGCAGATGCTTCAGCATGGTCTGGTCCAGTAGCTGGTTTCCATATTGAACAGAGAACAGCCCGTCAGCTGTGGAGTCGGCAAGGTTTCATAGTCAACTGTGGAGATAAGATGTATGACTTGCTAGAGTAAACACCAGACCTGATAGGCTAAATTTATTATGCTTCAGACATGCTGTACAGACAAAGCAGATGTCTGGCCTAAAAACCAAGAGCCAGAGGTTCAGGAGTACAAGGACAGGTGTGTCCAGAAATTTGTTCCCTGCTTGTAGGTGTGACAGGTGCAGCTTTACCCTGGCTGGATAGTAATTGCAGCTGCAGCAATCCCCAAACAGTGGAGAATTCACCTACACCTAAAGGCCAGTCCTCCCATGAGCAAATTAAACATTATTTTATTTATTATGTTCTATAACAAAGTGTCAAATGAGCTTTGTTACATTCTCTCACTCTGAACTGCCTTTTCTCCTCTCTCGTACTCTGTCTCTGTGATCCAGGTCATAGGACCATTTGATAAGTGCAGCTCTGGCCCCACTGGGATGCTGTTTGCCTTCAAGGGAAGATTCTGAGTACACTGACAGCCCACAGAAGGCTTCGATCTGAAGTGGGTTTTTCTGACTGTGCATTGAAGTGCCTGTAATTGTGATGATGTTGGTAAGTTTCTTATGATCTAGACTAGGGGTCTTCGAATTTTCTCTTGAACAGTTTTCGTTGACCCTGAAGCAACTTTTTCATCTCTTCTAATTTTTCCCTCTGTTCATCTCCTACAGTATGTATTCTGAAAACTTAGCCTGATGTTTTGTCTCATAATGCCTTTTTATGTTGTTTTCTTTAATCATGGCAATTGTTTCCTGATAGATAAGACACGTTACCATTTCTTTCCAAGGGACACGAAAGTACTCTTCTGATCATTTGTCATAGAATTTTTGACCGTCTGCATCGATCTTTCTTTTTTTCGATATGGCAGGGATAACTTACAGTTAGCCTCTTGTCAGTTATTATTTTTTCAAACTGTTTGAAATCATTACCTGCTTTCAAACAAGATAGCATAAACTATACACCATTTGTGTGACTGAGCCAATCACAGTAGGCAACAAAAATCCAAGTGAATTCACAGTAAGAATTGGTTGTAGGACAGGCGTATATTTACCTAGGCTAAAGCTGACGCCTGATAGGCTAAAATTAAAATGCATTGTGCAATAGGTGTTGTTCTGCAATTGACTGTTAGTGTGGAGGGAAAGCAGCAGAGCTAACGAGTAGAGGCCACTGTGGAAGATTTTCTCTATCTGATGCAAAAAGTAACCCTCGAGATTCAAACTACAGTGAGCTGTGGGCCACTCAGAAAAGTTCAGCAAGTCGGATTTGGCCTGTGGGCTGTAGTTTGTTGACTCTTGGTCCAGACTATACTGATTTTATTTAGGGTAACATGGCAGCTAATGAATATTGATATATTTTGTGCAACAAAATATTTAAAGAACAATAGCATTAAAGACATTTCGCAGACTGCCCAGAATCCTGTCTTCATTCCTACAGAACTGGTGGAAAACCCAGTAAAGGGGCTGGAGATTTAAAAATAAAGCAGAGATCAGCTTGACTCAAAGGACTAGAAAACACTGTAAGATTAATGACAAGATCTGATAATGAGTCTATCAAAACAATTGCGTGCATTCTAGATTTGTAGTACTGATTAAATTTATTGTGAACTGCTCTCATTTTAATTTGTACTGTAACGCATACGGCCACCATTGGTTGTGCGAGCCGGCTTACCAGCGTGGTGACGTCACCGCCCTTCCCTGTGAATAGCAGGGACCGCAGCCGTCGGGATGACGGGAGATTTCCCTTTGGCTCAGGTGGCTGGGTTGAGTGACACTGGAGGCCCGGGTTTGAGTCCCCGACGGTGGGGGGCTGACCTGAGGCGGCAGTGGCGAGGGCGCATACCCACGTGAACCCCGTAGCGTTACATTGGTGTTAGAAGTGGGATGGGATAGCCCTTCAACGAGGATGGCGAATTAAGCGGGGGAGAGTGTAACGCATACGGCCACCATTGCAGGTTGTTTGAGCCGGCTTACCAGCGCGGTGACATCACCGCCCTTCCCTGTGAATAGCAAGGACCGCAGCTGATGGGAGATTTCCCTTTGGCTCAAGTGGCTGGGTCCCTGTTGAGTGACGCTGGAGGCCCGGGTCTGAGTCCCCGATGGTGGGGGGCCGACCTGAGGCGGCAGTGGCGAGGGCGCATACCCACATGAACCCTGTAGTATTACAGTACTAATACAATAATATACAGTATAAACAGTCAAATATATACAGTATTTGTTTTTAGTTTTATTTCACTTGAAAATACAGAAATACTACAGTACATAAATATGAAGTAATCATGATATAAATGTATTTGTATTAACAAATAGCTAATTTTCATTACAGCTCCTACAGGCATACCAGACAGGCATTGTCAAGACATTAAACATTATAAATGGCATACATCATACATGCTGCAGTTGTACTGTTAAAATGATTGAGTTCAAGTGAATGACTAGAGTGTTCATTGTATTGCTGTTAATATCATTTTTCAGCAGTATTCTTTTAAAATGACTAACACTATTAAACTTATTTTTAATAAGTATAAATTATATATTGTCAGAGCCGCAAATAAAAATATGTAGATGAAATATTTGAAAATGTCTGTCATAGCATTTTAACAAATATCCTAGTGTCCCACAGCCGTTTTGATGTTGTCTGATTGAGGAGATTCATTTGGTTGCCATGGTTTCATCACTATTGACGTAAGGAAAGTTCAGGTGAAATGAATCATTCATTTAAATGTCCAAGGTCATATATTGATTTTAACTCACTGGCAACTCACTAACAAGAACAGACTATCTTTATTGTACCTCATGAAAAAAGGGGACATACTGTATTCTTATAATATTTAATTAGGAATACTTTTATTTTCAAGCTTAAAAATGGAAAAAGCATTTTCTTACAAGTACTGTAGTATATTCTGAAAAAACATGGTTCCTAATTCCTGCATGTAAGAATAAATTGCATTTGTTTACCATGTTCATTCCAAAGTTCTTTATGCAAATAAAGAGGCCCCCTTCATATAAAACTGACTTCCAGTTCCCTCCTTGGTGGTGCACAGCAGCCATTATGAATCAGAACCCCCAGCACAGTAGATCAGATAGGGAAATGCGAAATCACCTCATCATTTGAATTCAGAAAGAACTTTAGGCTGACAATGGTCTCTTTCCAGCCATCCCATGGGATCTTCAATAACCAAAGCTGTTATTCCTTTCTTAAGAATGCATTGAACCAATCTTGAATGTAAAGTGCCCCTGAAAATATTGGGACAGCAAAGTCAACACTGTTACATACTGTAAGTAAATACATAATATACCCTTTATTTTCATTATGAGTAATTATACAGTCACAGTAACACATTTACTGTATACTGTATCATATTACCTCTAGTAGCAGCTGTATTCAGTAAAAATTATATACTAAAGGTAGAGTACATTGAGATTGTCTGTGTGTTCTATTATGTTCAGAAACAGAAGAACATTCTAAATAAAAAAGTCTTCAGTACTGCTGTGGAACATGTTAGTCATGAGGTCATGGAATATTTCAAGCAGACTGATATTTTCACTGCGATCAGCAGTGTGGCTTGTAGAGTACCTCCTCATCGATGTCATAGGTTTCTTCTCAGAATGATTAAATCATTGAAAAAAAAACTGAGGAATTTTGATTTTTCAGAAAAACAAAACAGTGTAATGAAATGCCTTATGGTCAGTTCTGTCTATTTAGAGAATCACCAGGCAGCCTGTGCGTTTGCAGTCTTTGTTCAATGAAGCAAAAACCAATACTGGGAAAGGATCTTCTTCATACTATTTAACAAAATATTTCATTTCAACCTTTTCTTTTCACACATGCTTAAGCATACTCTAGTGTTTATCTGCATCCTGTCCCTAAACATTGAGACATAACAGTGTGGGAAATCAACATTTAAATAATTTGCCAATGCAGCATCTTAACAAAAGTCAGTAAAGATAAAGACAAAAAAAAAATCATTCATGCACTTTCAGGAAACACCTGTTAGCTAATTTTCTTATATGAATATTAAGGGTTTTTTCAACTTAATTCTCAACGTAATTTCAATAGTATTGTAGCTTTTCTTTAATTTTTTAGGTGATATAAGAGGAAGATAAATACGATAAACATTACTGAGCCTGAACCTACACTGCATAATGTGTTCCAGTTTTTTTCTCTTCATTGACCTTGATCAAGAAAATGTGACATACTGTTTATTATGTTGTAAATCTCAAAAAGGAAGCTGAAATCTTTATTTTCAATTTTTGAGAGCAGAACAAAAGAACAACATACAATGTAAAAAAGCTCACTCACCACAAAACATTGTTTCATGGGTTCCATCTAGTGTTTGAGTAGAATACTACATGTGACAGAAAATGCCCGTTAATGTCAGCCTTCTGTCTGTTATGCTTCACAAATAAACCAATTACTGTACGTTTTGTGACAAAAAAATAAAAAAAATAATAACTGAAAGGAATATGCAGTTTAGATATTTCAATTATTTTTCATCAAAAGGTATTGTAATAAGATTCTCAACTATGTTTTGTGAGAAAAGAATCTTGCCCTTACAGTCATTATTCTTATAACTTATTCTATTAAATTCCATATCTTTTATGAAAATCAATTTGCTGGATTACAGTCTTAAATGACTGGAAGAAGTACAGTAGCGCCTTTCTTTGCTCTCTGCCATATAAAAAGACTCGATATGTATGCAATTTCTCATGGGAAGTTACTAAGCATTGAATAGATCAGGATAGAATGAAATCTGACACAAAATACCTATTCTTGCAGAGAAATACATTTTTGGTTTGCAAAAGTAACTGTGTATCTGGTATGACGATTGGAATGTTTTCATGATGATAGTACAGTACCATCATGTTCATATTTGTGAACACATAATGTGCTACAGATATAATCAAATATCTTCTGCCACATGTGCCAAGTAGTGTTGATTGTGCTTTTGGGAAGTATTGCATTTTTGGATGTCTCACTATTCTCTGAAATCCAAGATGAGGCAGAATATGAGTCCATGTGTCCAGCCTCCCACAGCCTGTAATCTTCTCACTTTACCAGTTGTTACTTGCCTTTGTCTTGCTGTCCTTGGCAACATGAGGCGGATTATGAAAGATGAGGTTGATGGACCTACGAACAGATTGTCTAGACTAGCAAATTATTGGCCCCTGTCTGCTGAAGCACTTTGTGAAGCCTAGCTGTGATGGCAAATGTGCGTGTGAGATCTGTTGATAGGGACCTGCCAACACTTACTGTATATCAGTTATTCTTGGAATTAGGTCAGTCTGGCAGAGTAGAATGGAGCGCTAATAATTTAAAAAAACTTTTTCCGGGCCATATCATTCCAGACCATGTATGCACATTTAGAACACAACTTCTTCTGGAATCTCATCATTTGTGCATTTCATCATACATAATGAACATGGGAAGTAAAATCGAAAATTGAATTTCAAAATAAATTGTAAGAGTAAAGAGTAACATTTTGGGCTGCAAGAAACCAATCGTACAAAACAACGGCAACATATTGTGGCAATTTGTCCCCAAACCTGGTTCAGCGATGGGATGGTGACACAGATGAGGCAGAAGGCAGATATGCAGGTTCAAAAAGCAGTGGGTTTATTACCCTTTTAGTTACCAGTGGAACACATTATGTGCAGTAAGCAAAAAATTTAGCCAAAGGTTATGAATTGGTCAGGGCATTCCAATAGGAATCAAACCAACAAGGGAAAGGTCCTGTGACCCCAAGATCATTTTCATGTTATTCAGTCGAATGCCATGTTTGTCAAATATGGCACTTAAATCCTGAAGGAGAATAATGTTTAGTGACACAGAGCCAGAGCCAGAATTTGATGATCTCATTAGATGTAACTTGAGATTATAAACAATTTACAAGCTCATTTCTCTGAATTTATGCAAGAAAAGGCAAGTTAGAATATAAGTGACAATTAAGCTCATTAATCACCTTTCATACAGTTGTGATAGAAGCACACTTAAGTGCAGTCCTGTTGTAGGACCCCTTTAAAACTATTCAGGAACTTTTCAAGAAGTCAGATTTCCTCACCTGTTATCTTTACTTCATTTTGCCCTCTGCTCTGATCCATTCTTTCATATTCCCCGCAGTGTTAGACATCCTTCTTTGCACAGCTCCTGTAACTAGCTCTGGATCTGCACATCCTAACCGGCCATCTGTTCCTCCTCCTCACTCTAAGGACTTTGCTCTTACTACAACAATTTACTTTCAGCTCTCCAAGATTCCACCTCCTCTTCAGTTCTCATCTTGTGCCTCTCTTTCTTCATCAATAAACTCAATACATCATCCAAGGTGGGGACTTAATAGTGCAACTATACAGTATACATTTAAAAACTCCACAGTTGTTTAATTTTTAATTTAATTTAAAATATTTTAATTGTTTAATATTTGCAAATAAATCAACAGTGAAAGTGAATTCAGTTTACAGCATAGAGATAAATCCTGAACTGCTATGTGCAGCACAGAAGTAATAATTAATCATATTAATTACTTGCAATTATTATATTAATAATTAATATTAATTATATTACAGGTAATGGGGACTCCCTCCACCACCTCCAATGTGTAGCCCCCACCTGGATGATGCGATGGCAGCCATAGTGTGTCAGTACCCTTACCACACACCAGCTATCAGTGGGGAGGCGAACAGACTGATGTAGCCAATTCATAGATGGGGATTGTTAAGAGGCCATCATTGGTAAGGGCCAATGGGAAATTTAGCCAGGACACTGGTGTTACACCCCTACACTCCTAGAAGTGGTGGGATGAGCAGTGAACTGAGCTGGTAAATGGCAACACAGTATCAGGGTCCAAAAGCTACAAAGAAAGATGATGGTCTCAGCAAGTCAAGACTGTGCACTGTCCAAATGGAGTGGAGATATGCAATAGAATGATCACTTAGGCAGTAGGAGAGCATTGAAAAGGCAAAGAAAGAATATGCCCAGGTGAACATGTGAGCTACTCCAGAGCCTGCAGAAAGCAGTGCCAAAAAACATTGAGGAAAAATGTAAAAACAAAATTAAGTAGTAAAATACAGTAACAATAAATACATAGAAGAAGTGTAGTAATGAAACTCAAAACTTCCCATTAATTAGATGGAGAATAAAATTAAAAAATTCTGGAAATACAGTTTGGCTGCTACAGTGAACAAATTTCTCAATCTCTCAATCAGAAGTGCCTGGAACAAGCACATTTTTACACATTTAATATTTTAGCATTTAATATTATACATAATTTACCAAATTAATCAATAATATAGATTATTAGTTTTTGAAAACTACATAGGTGAGTTAATCTGTTTACTTTATACAGTGAAGGTGTAATATTCACATACTGTATATGCAAATGAATATCAAAGATACTGAAATAAATAGTTACATATTTGCAAGTGTTCTTAAAATAGAATACTATTCATCTTTGAATCCTCTTAATTATAAGTGTTTAGAATAATCCAGTTCAGCTTGTAACCTACTGTATATATAAATGGTACCCTAATCATTAATGAGATACAGTGAAACGCAAGGAGGGAGGTGTTTTCTATCTAATCTTTATTTCAGATTGCCAAAAGACAGTTTTATCATCACTGAGAGAAAACAAAGATTGTAATGAAGGAATTAAACAGTGGGGATGTCTTTGTGCAAACAGTTACTTTTATTTATATATTTCTCCTGTGTAAAATGGGTTCTGGCAGTTAAAATGTGATTAAAGGGACACACACATCAGAAATCCCTTTGAAGCAGCTTTAATCCCATTCTATGAGCCACCATTGCTGCTGCTACCAGATGGATTTCATCCACATGAAAAAGAAACCTCTTTCATAGCAACTGTTTGAGCCATTTCTATCTGGCACTGAAACCACCCAGTGAGACAATTATCATGGCTGTTCACATCCGAATGTTCCAGTTTTTCAAGATACAGACCAGACAAATAGTATGCTTGAGTTTATGTGCAGCCTAAATACTTCTATCAACAATGTCCAGTATGGACTGGACAAAGTCACCTTTCTCAGTGTCAAGGAGAGGAAGATCGAGTTTATACAATGTGTACTTTTTTAATGGAGCCTAGTTCTGGAAACCTGACCTGGAACAATTTAACATATACTGAGTCTTTGAATACAGCACCTCAAAGGTTAAGAAAACAGTCATTATGACTTCAAGGCATGGTTCAGTGTTGTTCTGAACATGCAGCAGTTTGCCAAACAAAGAATCAAGCTGTCAGACCTGTGATCACTAATGCCTTCGGCACTTCAGCTGGTCAAGGGTATGTCTGAGAGCCCTTGAACAGAAGATTAGAACCACCATGGATATCTACAGTATCACATGCATCCATACCACGTACTGTACTGTATCCTTCCATAAAATTTGTGGGCAGGGGTCTCCTCAAACTGGCAAGTCTCTCTCAGAAAACAGTCTGGAGGCCTCCACAATATACATGCAAGACAAGAATTTGTTCCATAAGACCATGTCAGACCTGGTTGTTAAAAGCCATCATGTCACTTCAAGCTCCGATGTAGGTCAGAAGAGGTACAGAAGATTATGGTTGGTCTGCTGAACAGCTTCCCAATCAACAGCCCACTTGACAAAAATGTTTCAAAGACCTGAGACACTGTCACTGCACTCTTGAGTTCAGTACTGTACTTTACCAAGATTGCTTCGGCTAAAATCAGAATGATGAACTGTTACCAATGTGTCGTTTATAAAAAGGGACAGTTGTAACCTTTGAAAGATGCTTTGGACAAAGGTGTCGGTCAAATATTGTTAAATTTAAAGTAAATTTCATTTAGAATTTTAGCATTATTGCTTTGTTGACAACACATATGCTGTCATTATTTTCTGTATCCTCAGGATTGAACAACAATAACACAAAACAACAAAATATCAGCCTTGCCCTTGTGTTAAAGGTGCTTTGTAGCAGCAGTGCCCAAAACAATAATGGGTGACAGTTACAAAGATGAACCACACAGCAGGAAGGGGAACCAAAACCAGCAGCCCCAGTTTCTTCTATCTGTGTTTGCACAGCCACAAACTGAAGACTGTAATAGCCCAATATCTGGAGTCCAAATATCTGGAGTGAACCATCAGTCCAATAAACCGCATGCTGACCACAGTCTCCATCTAACCTGTAGTTCTGGAAGTGTGCAGTGCGCTACGGTTACAGGTCATTGAAAAGCAAGTTTTTTAAAGAGTAACTATGGTCACAGCAGGTGCGCCTTGTGAAGAACTGTAGATTTCTCCTTTCTTCTTCTTTTTTAATCAAGCTAAAAATTGGAAAGTACAGTAAATGGAAATATAGAAGATGTAGAATAGTCTGTACCATAAACTCTTTACTATAACCTGAAAATACATCCAAGAATTCAAAGATTTATGGCTTCATACTTGAGCTTTCCTAAACAGTGTTATTTCTTTACGCCAAAAAGGGCGAGTGTGGGATGATAAGCAGTCAGAAAACTACGTTTTAAACATCAATGTAATCTATATCACTTACAATTTTAAAAAGGAATCATTGTGATTTATTTTCCCCTTCAGACATAAAATGTACAGTACATACTATGTCACTGGCTGCAATAGAAAATTGCTTATTCAAGATCTGGTCTAAGATCAAGTTATACCCTTGAATGTATGTATTTTCTTAAATTCAGGTTAATATACTTTTCCTGAAGTTTTGAAAATTTGGAAAATGTTAAAATAGTTTCCGCCACATGATGCACGATAACCCTGTTTTGAAAAAGCAAAATTTAAATAATTATATATAAATAAGCTTTGATGGACATTTTGCATCACATATTATAAAATAGTTTATACTGTATTATACTAATAAAACATATTTATTCCTGTGTGTACTGTGTGTTGTATGGCGTACACTGGATGGTACTGTCTTTTTGCACTACTTACTGCGTACTGTTTCTATTTATTATTGTCTTCACCTGTGTGAGTGAATAAGTATGAAAAAGAATTCCAATGTACCTGGTAGAAATGTACCTGGCAAATAAACTTTGAACTTGAACGTTTAGTAAGGGTCTAGCCTGGGCAAACAGGGCACAAGACCAGACAGACCAGTCCATTCTGAGGTAGATTTACAGTATACCTAGAGGGTCTTAGAGGCACCAGTTAGCAGTCAGAATAACTACTGAGTAGTAGTCAGTAGAAACAGCTACACTCAGCAAACACTGACATGAACATGGAAAAGACTGTAATATCCACACAGGAGATACCTCAAATTAAACCCAGGATTAATGTGAGACATAAGCACCTACCATGTCACTGTGCCACACCCTCTTGACATAACTGTGAATAAAAGTATTTACCAGTACTCAGTAGAGAGTAATGAAGCCAATTCATAGATGGGGATTATTAGGAGGCCATGATTGGTAAGGGCCAATGGGAACTTTGGCCAGGACGCCGGGGTTACACCCCTACTCTTTTCGAGAAACGCCCTGGGATTTTTAATGACCACAGAGAGTCAGAACCTTGGTTTTATGTCTCATCCGAAGGACGGCACCTGTTTACAGTACAGTGTCCCCATCACTATACTGGGGCATTAGGACCCACGTGGACCACAGGGTGAGCACCACCTGCTGGCCCCACTAACACCTCTTCCAGCAGCAACCTTAGTTTTTCCCAGGAGGTCTCCCATCCATCTTTGAAAGCAGATTATCTATTGTGATTATTGGAAAACAATAATCAGATAATCTATCGTGATTATCAGAAAAGAATTATTGTCATTATTAAACAACAATCACAATAGATAAATGCTTTCAAAGTTTGGGTGGGGCACTTTCAAAAGTGGTGGGGGTGATCTTTTTCACCCAATTTAACCACCCTGGCACAGCTGTCTCACAAAGCAGATGTGTATATTTTGCAACTCAGACTTCTTTCAGATCTATGTAAAATAGGTAATGAATAAATCATATCATAATTAAATTAACAGCCTCAACAGGTGCCGTATGTGTATATGACACAGATGCTCATCTTATTCTGCTAGGGCAATGTAGAATGTAGCCAATTCCCTTCAATAAGGTTCATTGAAGATATGTAACAGGGTATTTTTTAAAGGTCCCACCAGTTTTGTTTTAACTAGGAAAGTTTCTAGCTGACGTCAGAGAGCTTGGGACTCTGGTTTGATAATTAGAAGGTTGTGTGTTCAAACCCCAGATGAGCACCACAGGTTTGTACTTAATCATTGCAATTCATTCAGACCACTCCAGCAAAATGCACAGCTGCAAAAAAACATGTACAAATGAAAACTAGTAGTACTAGCTTCCTTAATATTAAAGAATACTTACTACTTAAAGAACTCAAAGAACCATCAGAAGCAAATAAAACCAAAGCAGACTTTAGCTTCCACATATTTATTAAAACCAGAATGCTTGAAGCCAGGGGTATTTATTGAAAAATAAAGTAATAATGGCACATTTTTTAGATCACTTGACTACTTAATTTTCTTATCCACAAATTTTACAGTAAATTACTGTACCATAAAAACACAATAAAAACAAGTAAGAGACATCCAATGAACTTGTCTCGCTGTAATTATACGTTTTTTCTTCTTTCCCCTCAACT